CAGGAGCCTCAGCCCCAGAGCTTGGAGCATCTCAGCAGCATGGGAGCCTATGTGTCCATGGTCCCAAGATGGTGGTTGACATCAAAGCAGAACAACTGTGTTCTGAATCAGTCAGGATTTTGAGTTTCTCCCTAGTCCCTGGTTTTCCGGGGTCCATCTTCTTTGCCCCCCTCCCCTGAAGGGGCAATTCCTGTGGCCATGAAGGCTGCACAGCAGGTCTGTGTTCATGAGTCTCCCCTTGACTCGGACGTCTCTCACAAGTTGAATGTGTAACAGGTATTGAATGAGTGCTTGTTCAATTTTTAAAAGATATTCTTGCATCCTTAGTACTTTGAGACCTTCACATCCTGTGTGTTTGATCTCTTTATCTGTGGTAGCAGGTATATAGGTGCTATTACCTATTTTTTATCCATCAGAAAAATGAGACCCACATTAGTTAGCTGGCCTGTGGGGGGCCTGTGCTGTGCTCAGCTTGCTGGGGTGATAGGACATCCCAGGTCCTCCTGCCCCTGTCCCCAGTGCAGGCGAAGGGTACACGTAGGAGCCGTTACCGGCCTACAGCTTCTGCTGGAGAACAAAGAAGCCTATTGGAGATTAAAAAAACTCAGCCTTGCTGAGAGGGCAGTGGCTTCCAGGGTCTCCCAGTTCCTTATAAAGCAGTAGGCTTAGGGGAGCAGCAGCACCAGAGCTCCTGACAGCTGTAGAATTCCGAACATGGAAACAATTGCTTTGTAATATACAGTATTCACTCCAGCATTAAATCTCCTGACATTTCGCATGGAAACCATCACGGCCGAGTGGGTCTGTGTGCTCGGAGCTGAGCCCCACCCTGGAAGCAGCTCTGTGGCCCATTCCCTTCATCTCTGAGGGCCACAGGGCTCTTGGATAGCACTGGCTCTGCATGGGGCCAGATTGACTGGTGTGGGCCAGGCTGGAGAGGAAGGACCCCCAAGCCACAGGGCTGGGTGTCCCCTTCTGTTGTTTTAACCCTGCGTTTATGGGGCAGACCTTTCCTTGCTTTTCTAAGAATTGGGTTTTGCCCTGAAACTCTAGATTGCAACCTAAGTGAAAAAAAGAATTCTTCCATTTGGGGAAGGAAAGAAACATCATCCCTCTGTCTCAGTGTTCTGCTGGTGACTCTGTCTTACTGGGGTATCGCCTATTATCTATTACTGTATTCGCAGAGGAAACATTGGTTGCTTCACAATAACGGACAGCTTGTCAAAGACCCGCTGCTAGAAGGTTTGCTTATGTAAACTTGCAGCAAGTCTATGATGGGAATCTTTTGGACCTCTTTCTGCCAGATGCTGAGGTAGCTCACAGTTAAAAATAACTGGACTTTTTCCATGAAAACGTAGTAAGAGCCTGTGAGCCCTTAGCTTTGGGTGCTGAGTGAGCCTGGTCTCAGGGGCCATGGCATCAGGCACCATGGGTCAGCACGCAAATCAAGGCATTGTCTTCTGCACTTTGGTGATAAAATTGTCGTAAGTTTCCCCTCGGCCCCCGCCCCCTGCGCCCCGTCACTGAACAGGGAAATGATCTCCCCACATCTGACTCAGTCTTCAGTTCCCCCAGCCAGTCGCTTATCTGCAGGTCTCTCCGCGTCAGGCACAGACGTCTGTGTGTGTATGCACTTATGTGAGTACGTAAGTTTGTAACAACCGGGTTGAGGTGCAATTCTATGTGACATTGTCCAGTTTTAAGGATCAACTGTGCGTGTGCGTAAACAGTCATCCACGACATCACACAAGCTATACTGTGTGATTGGTGCCGTGAGCACCAGGAGGCGTCATCCAAGCAGGGCGGGGACTGGGAGAGGGCAAAGCTGGAAGTAGAGTCCTGTTTCCTTCAGAGAGGGGCACTTCCCAGGCAGGTTATGGAGTGGGGAAAATGTGCTTGGGTGTGAATACACCAGGACGGCCCAGGAAGCCAGGGTGCAGTATCTGGACACTGCACCAGCTTCAGTGTGGAAGACACTGGGCGTGGTTTTCATGGGACAAGTTTTTGGAGCTGGACAGACTTGTGTCTTAGTTCTGTGGTTCTGGCGAGGAACATAAATACCGTCTGTACCTCAAATTCTTATCTGTAAAATAAGTTATAAGGATTTAATAATGTCTTTTTTGGGGATGGGCCGGCAAACCCTCTCGTGAAGAGCTGGACAGAGCTCTGCCTAGCCTTGCGGCTCTGTAAGGAACAGGCTGTGAGCACAGGGCATCTTGAGAAGTGGCCTGGAGCCTGGGCTCAGCCTCAAGATTTAGCTTGTAGACCTTGGTTTAGGGGAAGTGCAGGGCGTGGAAGTGACTCAGTGGTGCTGCCCTTTCCCACCTCCTAGGTTTTGAGAGATTATAGTAACCTAGGATTTCTTAGTCTTTTCTGGAAATTTTCTTTGCTGATTGATTGGGGGTTCGATTTAAATCAAGCCAAACACCTGTTTTTCAGTAGCAGCTTGTCCTTGTGTCTGGCCCTTCCCTGTTCTGAGATTCGCTGTAGAGCCTGTGTGGTGAGGAGTGTGAGAAGACGTGTGCAGTTAGGCCTGCAGGCATTACTTCCTGGGGAGAGGAGCCATGGGCCTGGAGGAACGCACTTGTTCCTCCTGCTGGGGGCCTTGGCAGTCTGAGCTTTCTGAAGTGAGACAGAATTCACCAACGGTTTTCTTTGACTCCAGCCTCAACTGAAAATTAAGGAAGAGAAGCTCCCCACCCTTAAATGGTCAACTGAGAAATTAGTGAGACTTGGGAACTGAAATCTGGGTGTAGACCGGGCTTTCAGGTTGGAACTTGATCGTAGAATTGTTCAAGGCAGACTGCAAGCCAGGACACTGGAGCAGCGGGGCAGTTGGCCAGAGGAACCACTGGGACACTGGAGCAGTGGGGCAGTCGGCCAGGGGAGCCACTGGGACACTGGAGCAGCAGGGCAGTCAGCTGGGAGAGCCACCACTGGAGCAGCAGGGCAGTCAGCCAGGAGAGCTGCCTGGCATGTTGTTATATGGCGGGGCAGGTGCTCACCCATCATCATCCCTGGTGCAGCTGTGTTCCATCTGCTCCTGGCCCTTTCTTTCCTGTTCACCAGGGTACTTCCTCAGTTGCAGGGAGCAGGCTGTGGAGGTGACTCTAGATGCTGAGCACAGGACAGAGTGGGCGGAGCAGTTTCCTCCTCACACCGCCACCTTCCAGGCCAGGCTGGGAACCACAGGGAGAGCAGGCTCCGTGTTCAGACTTCGGCCTTGTGTTCCTTTTCAGGGGATCCCAAGGCTGAGTGTGTGGATGGGGTCGGTTTCTGCTCTGTCCTTGTAGGTGGAACAACCCACCTTCTCTGCAGCAGGAGAGGGGATCCCAGGGCCAAGTGTGTGGATGGGGTGGGGGGTAGGGGGTTCTGGTCTGTCCTCATAGGTGGAACAACCCACCTTCTGTGCAACAGAAGAGGGGAGCTAGAGTTGGCCAAGCCCCCTAAGCTGGATGCCTCTTCCTCTGTCATTCTGCTCTCAAGAGAGCTGAAGTGAAATGGCTGGGGATGTGTCCACCGGTTAACCAGGTCTCCTGTGATTGATGGGCCAGGACAGAATGTCCAGGCTTCTGGCATCTTATTTCCTCTACAGATTGTTTTTATAATGTTTTCTCAAAATTGGATATTTTTCTCTCTGGTGGTGGTGGTACAGGCATTGCAGTCTATAGGAGAAAAGAGTGAAACTGACTTCACAGCCAGCATTTGAGGCAGCAACTCGTCCCTGAGCTCCAGAGCACATGTGCACATGGCTGCCCCTGTGGTTCAGATTTTGGACATCCTTTGGGTTAACAAGGCATTTCCAAAAGCGACCGATAAGTCTCTGCAGTGGGCAGCCAATGGCTGCGGGTGTGGAGTGCCCAGCATGCGTAATGCTGCACACAGCTTTAATGTTTTTGCAGAAACCAACCCTTTGTTGGTGCTGGCCAGCTAGCTAGCTAGCTTCGAGAACACTCATCGATGGGCAGAGCGGATTTCATGTCATATCGTTTGTGGCTCCGTGTTCAGACTTCGGCCTTGTGTTCCGTGGGGAGACAAGAACCTGTCGTGAGCCTCGGTGAGCTGGTGAAGGCGGCCGCAGAGGCAAAGGCTGCCCCCCCCAACAGTGCACATCCTTCACTAGGAAAAGCAAGTTGACCAGCTCATGTGTACATCATGATAACTTTTCACTCGCTTGCTATATTTTTATTAAAACTTGAGTTTTTAACGCTTCCAGGAATTATGATTTTGTCAGTCTTAGAAGAAAAGACAACAGATTCCAAAAAAGTTAGCAGCTAATGAGTATTCTGTGTGCACTGGAGCTTATGATTGGGAAAGGCCTCTGTATGTTGATGAGGTGGCTTTGGCCTGTGTGCTGCACTGGCCCCGGGAAAGGCACTGCTGCTACGCGGCTTCCTTGCCATCTGCGAGCTGATGGCTTTAACGTGTGGATTCTTACCTCACCACAAGCACCTTTCTCACTTCCTCTGGATTTCTGCAGGCCTTGTTCTTTGGCTTTTTCCCTTGGCCTTCATCACTTATTTTTCAAAAACATTGTGATGGTTTTAAAGTCCTTGTGACTGACAGGCTTATTGGAAAATGTCTCATTAATGAAGAAGATGCTGAGTGGTGCTGGTGTCGGCCTTCCCGGCCCCAGCAGCCACAGGATCAGTTGTCGACTGAGTTAACAACTGCCCCTGCTGCCAGGGTTGGCTTCCTGTGGCAGCCCCTGGCAATGAGGTGGCCGGGGTCTAATTCTGGACCCCAGCCAGACAAACCAAGCAGGAAGGGGCCAGAAATAGGTGTGTGTTTAACATATGAGTTTTATGTGATGTAAATGCTGTGGGTTTTTGTTCGAGAGCTGGGGCGGAACTCCCATTGCATGCTGTGCAGTGCTTGTTTTTAATATTCCAATGATAAGGCAAATGAGATACCATGATGACTGTGTCTTCTTGAGCGCCATTGAATGATAAACTCTGTCCATTGAGATAATGCTGAACTTCTTTTTCCTTCTCTTGCAGGCGACATCACACAAAAAGGATATGAAAAGAAGAGGTCAAAGTTAATTGGAGCCTACCTGCCACAGCCTCCGAGTACGTAACCCCGATGAGTAGCATGAGTCATCTCATTTCACTCGTTCAATACATCATGCCAGAGAAACACCTGCAGGCAGACATTTCTGTACTCCTGAGTCTGTAGGAGGAGGTGCCTGGCCTTCACGTGCCAGGCATCTAATTCCTTTGAACAATCACACATGCTGTGTGAATGTCTAAGGCACATAGGATTTTTCTAATAATGTGCCTAATGTAATAGGTGTTTCCTCTGTAAGTACAGATCAATATTGTGTTGATTACTTTAAAATGCTGTAATCATAAAAATACACTTTATGATTTATGATTTCAATTTATGATACTTGGTTTAGAGAGTTATTTATTACTGCTGATTATGGTTTAATCCAAGGCATTGGTTGCTGTCTTAGGAGGCCAAATCTAGACACTGCTGTGATATCCCACCTAGGACTCTGAAACCGTAGAAGTTTGTTGTGTGTTGGGAGGTGGTCATAAACATGCATGATGATCACTTCCCTGCCAGCGTTTCTACATGTGCAGACTTGTAGCTTCTCTGCACTTGAGCTAGGTTCTGTAAATTTCAGTAGAAAGAACCTCATATTAGACTAGGATTCTAGCACCTCAGTTCCCAGGCAAGCTCAGTTGAGCCGGAAAGTGACCTTCCTTGAAAATTTTCTAGGCTTGAGGAATGGCTTAAAGCTAACCCAAGCAGTTTCTTCCTCAAACACAAAGGATAGCAACATGAATTTTAAAGTTGTAAAATGAACTCCATAGTTTTTATAGTTGAAACAAGATTTTAAAAGGTTTAAGGATGCATGTGTCCACACCTGCGCAAAGCCCAATTCTGGTCGTCTTGAGGCCCTGATACGCCTATCCGGCGTCCTGTTGACTCAGCAAGGAAAGTTTCCTGGGCTCACACTCCAGGAAGCTTGGTGTGGAGCTTCTGCTATTTGTAGTTTTGTTTTCATTTCCTGTTGTTCTTACCTTGATTTTTGAGACAGTGCTTTAACGGTGGATGTGTTCGTGCAGGCCTTGCTTAGCGAGGCTTAAGTCAGGGAGAGATGCCGAGGAATCCGAGAGAAGGGAAGCAGAGGGCTTGGCGGAAATGCTGGGGCCAGAGGCTTCAGGTGGTGCTGGGCAGATACCCCGATGGCCTGCGCCCCCTCCCTTATTCTTTTCTCATAGAGCCATGTGGTGATAGTTGCCCCAGCCCTGTCCCTGTGAGTTCCCCTCTGCAGGTGCCCTCATGTCCTGTGGAAGGTTGGGGGGCTGACTGTAGGCTGCGGACGCTGTTGGTTTTAACTTTTGTGCCTTGCCGAACAAAAGTGAAACAGAAGCAGTTCCCTGCTTCCCAGGACGGTTCTCCAGCGCGCTGTGGTGCCTGCGGTGGCCCTGGCTTTGCCTTGGCTGGGCTCAGAGGGTGACCACGCTGTGTGGTCCCCTTGGTGGTCTGTGTGCTGTTCTGCATGGGGTCGGCAGCTCTGCTCAGTGCTGTAACAAATTTAAAAAAAACTAAAGTTTGAATTAATTAGTTTTTTTTCAACTTGTTACAGCAGCAAATGGAGCTGCCGTGGTTCGGTGTAGACTGCAGCACAGTGAAGGAGTGCCGAGAAGAACGTTCCGCTCTGCTCACATCGGGGTGTGTGACGTCCGAGAAGCCGCGGCCCGGGAGCGGGTGGCCAGCACCGCAGGGAACCGGCCTCTGTTTTACTTTCGTTTCGGTGAGCGTTGCTTTGCTGAGAGCCAGCCCCACAGCAGGGACAACATTTGAAAAGGGGCCACCCTCCAAGTGCCATCCTGTATAGGCCCGTAGGGTGTGGCCTGGGCCTGAGGGTCCCCTTCATTCTCCAATGAGTTCCAGCCAGGGCACTCCGCAGGCCCAGAGCTCACCAGAGTCCGGCTCTGTCCCTGTGAGTTAGGGCCCAGTTCTGGGTTTCCTGTTAAGTAGAATGTTGCTTTTATAATTCCACTTTCTCAGTTGGGGCACCACTTACAAAACAAGAAGAATGCATGACAAATTATAAAGCTGCTCTTAAAGTCAGTGGTCTCCTTATAGTCAAAGACCTCATTAAAGGATGAGCTGTTGAGTCTTGGCCTCTGAGATCTGCTTGAGGGAGTAATTTTGAGATTTCTATCCCAAAGAGCCAAGTTTGGGTTTTTGAAATAGAAAAACCAGTCAATCATAGAGTTTGTTCTTAGAGGTAAGGATTCTGTTCAAAGGTCAAAATTACTTTGGTGCCTGTAATCCCAGCTACTCAAGAGACTGAGGCAGGAGAATTGCCTGAACCCAGGAGGTGGAGGTTGCGGTGAGCCGAGATTGAGCCATTGCACTCCAGCCTGGGTAACAAGAGTGAAACTCCATCTCAAAAAGAAAAAAAAGAAAAAATCATATTCACGGTGAATTTTTAAATTCATGTTCATGGTTATAATTCAAAATGTGGTGTTTTAAAATCATATACAAGGCCGGGCGCGGGGGCTCATGTAATCCAGCACTTTGGGAGGCTGAGGCAGGGAGATTGCTTGAGCCCAGGAGTTTGAGACCAGCCTGGGCAACAAAGGGAGTCCCCATCTCTACAAAAGAAGAAGTTAGTCAGGCATGATGTGGTGTGCCTGTGATCCCAGCTGTGCGTGAGGCTGAGGCAGGAGGATCTCTTGAGTCCAGGGAGTCAAGGCCGCAGTGAGCTATGATTGCGCCACTGTTCTCCAGCCTGGGCGACAGAGTGAGACCCTGTCTCAAAAAAAAAATTGGTAAAATCAAGTCATAGAGGCAAACTTTATTATTAAAATTGGCCATCGGGATTTCAGAAGAGGATAACCCTGCCTCGTCTCCCAGCCTCCACCACCTTCCTCCTCTCCAGCCCCTGGCTGATGCCCTCGCACACTCAGGAGCAAGTGGCGGAGTTGATGAGAAGGTGACAGCACTGGGTGTTAGCTGTGAGGTCCATTTCAGAATTTATCAGCTGGAGACGTGAGGAAACAGGAGGAAAGATGGCCCAGGCCACCTGATTCAGGCCCAGACACTGGACTCAGGAAGGGCTGGCGTTCCAGCCAGGCTGTGTTCCCCTGCTGACCTTCATTAGGAGATGCTGCTGGTGATGAGTGAGCATACACCATGTCTGACTATCCCTGGGAAGTAGCGAGTGTTATGATAAACTTCCACCCTTTTTATCCCCAACATTTATATCCGTGTTTCTCCAGAAAGTATTCTAGAAGTGTTTCTAGGATGTTTGGGAAGCAGGATTACGAGCTGCATTGGGAATTTCATTCTCTAGGCCAGCCAGGTGCGTCCCAGTGGCTCAGGAGGGCAGTGGCGGTATCAGGTCCCCGGTCAGGGTTCAGAAGTGACCGCGGTGCTGAGCGCCTGCCTAAATCTAGTTGAGGAAGAGTGCCAGGAGCCAGGAAGAAATGTGAGGATCATATGTGCAGTGAAAGGGCCAGTAAGAGTGCCCGAAGATCGTTTTCAGGGAGAAGACCCTGTTTAGGGAAGCTGCCCACTTGGCACCTGCCCTTTTGCAATTCAGACCCACCCTCATCAGACCCAGCCCAGTTAAACTGGTAAATGTAGGAAATGGACTCCACTTTCTGGCACCCTCTTCAGGGATATCTCAGTAACACTGTGGACTTTGATTACAAAGCTCACTGCTTTTACAGTACAAGCCATGGAGGTTTAAAGTAGTAAAATTTCAGTGTGGTGGTTGTAAACAGTGAAATCTTCCTCACTCAGATACAGTTCCTCTTTCTCACAGCAGCTTCTTATGTGATTGTCCATGAAACGTTTCTTGGTCTTAAGCAATTTATGAAGATCCAGTATTCCTCTCCAAGCCCAGCTTGCTTTTCCTCCAACAGCCAGACAGCTTGACCCCAGGTGCCAGTTATGAGGATTCTGTAAGGGGGTCAGTGTGCACGGCACAGCCTCTTCTCTCTGTGTGGTTGTTGTGTGAGTGGCCTCCCATAGTCAGTGAGAGTTCAGCCCCACACTGTTTCCACTGAGACCTCGATAGCCGCCCTGGCCTGCAGGCTCGCGCTGTGCCGTCTGGCTGTTGACCCTAATCCCTGATCACAAACCCGGACTTTTCTCAGTTCCTCCCCACACCCTGCTGCCAGGGCTCCCCAAAGGCCATGCTGCTGTCTACACTGGGAACTCTGCCCAGGATGCACATTTGGCCATGTCCAGGTAGTGCTGAAAAGTAAGTTCGGATACTATGTCCTCAGGGATTTCCCCCAATCCCTTGGTCAGACAGTCCACAGGCCGTGTCCAGGTGGTGTTGAAAGCTCAGTTTGGATGCTGCATCCTGAGGGATTTCTTCCCTGACCCCTTGGTCCTGAGGGATTTCTCCCGATCCCTGAGTCAGATGGTCCTGGTTCCCATCTCCCTGGCGTCCTGTCTCTGAAACACCACAGGAATAGTTGGGTGGTGGTTACTAAGTGCTCAGTCTCCACCCCACTCCCCACAGTAGGATATAAAAATTGCCCAAGGCCCTGGCTGCCTGCTCACAGAAAGTGGATGTTGGGCAGGTATTTGTTGAATGGATGCCAGGGTGCGGGACGGAGGGGCCGAGTCTGCCCATGGGGTCAGGCTGGGGCAGCACTTGCTTGCCCCCTACCGAGTGGCCACCCCCACCATGGTATGAGAATGGATGTGCAGTGTCCTGAGGGCAGACTCCACCATGCCCACATGTTGCTCAGATTCACACAAAGCCTGAAATGGGCACCGGAGAGCTTCCACTGCCTCAGCATCTATCTGTGCCACAGATTTATTTTTATTCTTGATTTGGATAAGTTTAAATGGTAGATGGTAACATGTAAGTGCTAATTAATGACCGAAATGACAGAGGGCAACATGTACCTCAGTCCAGCCCAGTCAGTGGGATTTATATCATTTTTAGAACCTGGCCTATATCCTACTGTTGGATCCTGTAAGTGGATCACCTGTTCTCCTGAGAACAGCTGTTCTGGCCTGAGTGCTGTTGCTTGGCCTAAATCCCAGCATTGGATCCTGTAAGTGGACCTGTTCTCCTGAGAACAGCTGTTCTGGCCTGAGTGCTGTTGCTTGGCCTAAATCCCAGCATTGGATCCTGTAAGTGGATCACCTGTTCTCCTGAGAACAGCTATTCTGGCCTGAGTGCTGTTGCTTGGCCTAAATCCCAGCATTGGATCCTGTAAGTGGACCTGTTCTCCTGAGAACAGCTGTTCTGGCCTGAGTGCTGTTGCTTGGCCTAAATCCCAGCATTGGATCCTGTAAGTGGATCACCTGTTCTCCTGAGAACAGCTGTTCTGGCCTGAGTGCTGTTGCTTGGCCTGAATCCCAGCATTAGATCCTGTAAGTGGATCACATGTTCCCATGAGAACGGCTGTTCTGGCCTGAGTGCTGTTGTTTGGCCTAAATTCCAGCATTGGATCCTGTAAGTGGATCACATGTTCCCATGAGAACAGCTCTTCTGGCCTGAGTACAATCGCTTTGAGTGGCTGCCTTGCCCTTTCACCATGGAGAGGGCTTCTTCTGAGGCCCGTTGCAGATTCCCCCACTGGGTTTTGACAGTTGTGAGGGAGGAAGTGGCCTGGAGTTGGCATTTGTGAATCTTGTACTTCGGTCACATACGGAACGAGAACCTTTCTTACCTTTGCGGACGTAAATGCCACTTTGTTCTGTGTTCTTTAGAAGACCTGGCTGGCTGACCATGGCCTGTTCACCTGGGCCTGCTGTTGGTTGTTCTGATGCTTCATGTCAGCAGAAGCTGTGCTTTCCCAGGGCAGGTGCAGAGCAGGTCTGCGTTCTTGTTCTGCCATGAGCATTACAGTCCTGTGACCCCAGCGCAGCCATTTCCTGCATGTGCTGGCATAGAGACCTCCTCCTCAGCTGGGCTGCAGGGTCCTGGGAGCCTGTCCCTGGCAGGTTTCCTCCACTTAGGGGCAGGCCGTGTGGTGGCTCACAGGGTGAGGTGCAAACCTAAATCCCAGAGAGGGAGAAATGAGAGTGTCTAGATTGTATTGCCTGTGACTTAGTGTGAATCTTTCTAGAACAAGTTGCTTCAGTGAAAGGTTAACCACCTGTGTTACGGGTCAGCCGTGATCCCACCGGCACTTCCCAGGGTACCATGCTCAGCTGCTGGAGATGTGTTCTGTCACACACAGTTGTGAATTTGAACCCGTGCATTTCCTGGCCTTTTTAGCAACGTTTAATAATCACATTCCTCATCCCAGATGTCAGTCGCTAGGGATAGAGGGTGCAGCGGAGCCCACACCATGCGGGGTGTCTCGGGTCTGAGCAGAGTTGGGTGTGTCTCCAGTGGGGAGGGTAGTGCCCACTTTGGAACTGCTCATGTGGGTTTTGTGAAAAATCCAAGGTGTAAGCAAAGTGCGGAAACGTGTAGCCCTGGCCGTGATGGAGAGATTGTTATCTGATCCAGTGAGCATGACCAGAGGTCAGGCTGGGGGATGATGCACAGATATCAGACCCTCCCAACTCCGGATTGCCGACAATTTCCCATGTGTGAGCCCCTAATAAGTTAAAATATTATAATAGGAAAATGGTTGTTAAGCAAATGTATACTGACTTGTGGTAAAGATTTCGGTTCATGAAAGATGGATAGAAAGGAGGACAGCGTGGGGCCGGGTACGGTGGCTTGTTCCTGTAATCCCAGAACTTTGGGAGGCTGAGGCAGATAGATCACCTGAGGTCAGGATTATGAGACCAGCCTGGCCAACATGGTGAAACCCCACCTCTACGTTTCTGTATAAAAAATACGGAAACTAGCTGGGCATGCTGGTGGGTGCCTGTAATCCCAGCTACTTAGGAGGCTGAGGCAGGAGAATCACTGGAACCCAAGAGGCTGAGGTTGCAGTGAGCCAGGATTATTCCATTGCACTCCAGCCTGGGCGACGGAGCAAAACTTTCAAAAAAAAAAAAAAAAGGGTGAGAATTTGTGGGGTTGGAGCAGGTAGGTTTCAGTCTTCTCATTGTGTGGTACTCCCATCTGAGTAAATACAAAGAAACAGTTGTCCTGTTTGCTTTATGTCAAAGTTCTTGATTGTACTTACTTTAAAAACAAGTTCTGTGATATGAACAAGAGTGTGTAATTGGGTCCTGGAGAGAATGCTTTGGGACAGATTCTGGATTCAGAAACTGCTTTGGGACAGACCTGAAATACAGAACAATCCCCAGCAGTTTCACGAAGGGCCCAAAGCGGGCTTCTCATGCAGGACATTCCTGTGGAGGCCTCCATGGAGCATGGCGTGCTTGCCCCTGGGTGCCCAGGAAGGAGGCCAGGAGAGCTCTGGGAGCCAAGGCTAGCCATAGAGATGTTTATGTCTGCACCCCCAGCATGCCCGGACACGCGATGAGTGAGAACAAGATGGGAATTTGGAGCAAGGACTTGTCATCTTAAATCCCACATACTTTTAAAATTTAAGTTTTCCTCCACACATTCTTGATGATGTCTTTTAAAAACATGTTGAAAAATCAGGATTTTCAGTGTACTTCTGACTATCTGTATTTAGAAATCCTGACTTTTTCTGGTACATTGAACATCCTAAAGAACCGCATGGCGCCCGTGTTGCTGGGCTTCTGGCCTGTGGAGCACTGCTGTGTCAGAGGGTGGTGGCCCAGGCCTGCCCTGTTCTGAGGGGGACTTGAGGATTGCCATGTTGTCCACTGTCTGCTTTTTCATGGTATCGATGGAGTACCCTCCTGCACTTACTAACCTGGAATTGACAGGCTGCTCAGTTCACAGAACTCTATTGTTAGAATTTCCTTGGGGAATCCTTTCTTAATTATGTGCTGTAAGTAATTGAAGGTTTAATAAAAATGGTGCTAAGACCTGGGACAGTGGGCATTCCACTTTAACTCAGGTCCGGGGTTTGGGGCACAAGAGATGATGCGGCTGGACAGGAAGGTGGAGTGAGGCTCAGAGGGACCCACTTCCAGTGAAGGAGTTGGGGGCTTTGTTCTGTGGTCATCAGGACGCAAAGGAATGAAACCGTCAGAGCCCTTCTGGACCAATGTGGGGAAGACAGCTCTGGGCACTGGGAGGAAGTAGAAGCCACAGTACTCTAGGCAGAGAACACCTGCGGTGGATAGTGCCCAGGCAGGCCATGTGCGGACCCCAGGAGGAGACAGGTCATAGGGGATTCAGATATTTGAAGATGGGGAGCACCTGAAGGCCCTCATGCCAGGTTGCTGAGGGGCCCATTTGCAAATGAAAAGGCAGTCATGGGAGAATGTTTAGACACCATACAAGGGTGGCACCAGGCTGCCCGCACTCAGGAATCCGTTCTGCACCCGTGTTTCCTTGCCAAGAAAACAGCAGAAGGAATGGTCCCGGCCTGGAGCTTTTTGTGTTGATGACTGAGTGAAGTATAAAGTGCTTAGGCCAGGCTATCACTGCTACTTCTGTCCTAAGAAAGGTTCTGGAACTTGCCCAGAATACCACAGAATCACAGGAGCCAGATGGATCGGGGCCCCAACCATAGGCGTGGAATCTCCTGTCTATGGAGGGCTGGAGTTGAACTGGTGCCTCTTACGGCCAATGCGTGAAAGCTGAGCAGGTACTCCTGGGAGGAGAATCTCAACTCCATCTCAGCTGTGTGTTTGCCTGAGGAGGCCTCGCTTTTTGTCCTCCACACTTGTATGTTTGGATGCAGCCACACCGTCTCCCTGGGGACCTCCCCTTCCCAGGGACCACACCCGCCTCTCCCCTGACCATGCCTTCTGTCATGAGGCTTCCGATCTTTCTGTGACTGTCCTGAGAGCTGGTTTTCAACCCTTCTGTTTTATTCGTTTCTGTTTTCAAACTTTTGTTGTAAACATTGCATTTCGACCTATGAGAGTAAGTATTCACAAGGTCGGTATACAAAAATAGCTTTTTGATATCAGACATGTAAGGCCTGTGTTTGATAAGGCCTGAGAAGCCAAGCAGCATCCTAGAACTCTGTAGACCATTGTCCATGGGCACCAAGAGGAGGTTAGGCTTGGAGGTGATTCCAGGAAGCGTGTTTGAATGGACTGGATAAGTGTGGGACTAAGATCGAAGGGGAAACATTGAAAACACCAAGCCACCAGTTACACTTGGCAACTTGAAAATGTGTGTTTATCTCTAGTTCTCCTCAAATTGTGCTAAGATGTCAGTGACTGTGTAAGGTATAAATCCACAGGACAAGAAGTCAAGTAGAGGAATTTGTGGTTCATCATTTAGCAGAATGGAGAAAGCCAAGATGCAGACACTAGGAGAGCTATGGGTGCTGCAGGTGTGGAGCCAGGAGAACTGTGTCCAGGAAGCAGGTGGCCGCCCCTCCCCTCCTCCCAGCCCTGTGTGTTCTCTGGAGAAATTAAATGGGGAGGCTCCAGATTTGGGAATGGTACTGAAAACAGAGGCCCCAGATCAGAGCACACATGTGGAGGGAATAGCCCATCCCAGAGGGATCAACGTGCCTGTGTTTGGTTATAAAACCAGAGAGGAGAGGACTCTTCTTTTGGCAAACAAAACAGCCTAGATGAAAGCCCTCCTGGGAAGAGATGTGGTGTTGTGCCCCCATAAGAAGAAAAAACTTACTTGCAGCTCCTCCAGTGGGAATAAAGAAAAGATGATGGAAGGAGAAAATAAAGAAATGGATATTACCCAAAGATTATAGTATCAGAGTGATGTTTAGCTTCTCACCAATAATGGAAATGAAAGGCAATGAATGAAAGTAATTTTCACTTAGAATTCCTTATGTAGGTAAAAGACCCAGTCACGCTGGGTAGAAAGAAAAGCACTTTCAGACATGCTGGGCCCCCAAGTATTCCTTCTCATCTGTTCTTTCTGAAGAAGCCACTTGAGGTGCTCCTTTAGGATGGGAGAGTAGAGGGGGCATTGAGGAGCGTGAGAACAAGTGACCAGCACAGTGAGTGTCCACAGCCGGTGGGAAGAAGGGCATGGCCCAGTGACTGTAGCAGGTCTTGGGTCAGGGCGGGGCTCCAACAGGGCTTCCAGAAGCGAACAAAGGTTCTTACCAGGTTGTCAGTGTTTGATCGTGGGCAAGAAAAGCATGGGAAACAGTTTTCAGTGCTGCTGGAGAATCACGAAAGGGTTGGCCATAGGTACATTGAAAGCCAAGATAATGGAAAATAGATTACAAGTATTAACTCCAGCATCATTGAAAAGATAGGAAGGTATTTTAGCACACTGCAGACCCTGCAGAAGACCATCTGTACGTAGCCCTGGCATGATGACCACAGTGGCTTAAGGTGTGGGATCTAAAAAGGACAATTCAGGAAGTCACATTATAAGTCTATATTTATGAACATAAGTGCCAGGTAACTACTGTTTTCACATGAGATTCGTAGTAATCTTTGATTTCCTAAAATGCATCTGTTTGATAAAAAGGTAACTGAAGGTCATTTTTAAGAGATTATTTGTGAGTGATGACTGGAAGAGGTTGGTAGCAGCAGACAGTTCAGCCATCAGGAACTATAGTGATTTGGATGCTTGCTGAAAGAAGAGCACATGGAACTTCACAACATGGTGGCATAGGAGCAGTGCTTTACTCAGTTCTGAACTCGCCCGCCTGACGTGGGACCTACAGGGGTGCCATCAAAGGCTGCTGTTCAGAAACTGGAAGGGTAAGAGGAAGATTAAGTCTGTAGACTCGACAACTGTCCTAAGAGCCCAACATGGAAAACCAAGGACTAAATATTTTCTTTTGTTAACTTAAAACTTTTATTTCTTGTTTACTTTCAGTCAAATATGACTGATCCTTTCCTGAAGAAGCATCTGTTAGTGATTGGTGCTCAGTATTGGAACAGTTCTTCAGGGAACTGTGAGGATGACACCCTTCCTGTGGGTTTAGTTTTGTCTAGTTGTGTTCCTGGCCATCCTGTTATTACCTGAGTATAATCAATACCATGACGGGCAGATTTGGGTCAGTGTTTTGACTAACACCATTAAATCATTTTTATCTGACCACATGAATTTTTTTTGTGATTCGTGAAAGTCATAGTCAAATATAATGTGTTAAAACACTTGGCATCAAATGGAGTAAGTTTCCAGAGAGTAATCTAGAATGAGCAAAGGTGGAAGTTCATGGTATATCCTGGTTACCTGAACTATATTGTTAAATTGTCCTATAAAATTTATTTTAAAACTAACTTTAGTAATACACTTTTAAGTTTTCTTGGGAATATATATGACCCATTCTGTATATTTATTACATGGAAAGGTCATACCTTGAGTCTGTGTCTTGGGCCTGGTTGCTGTCACCCTAAGTCCAAGGAATCCAGTTGTCACCTGTGGCTGAATTTGTGTCCCTCCCTGTGGTTCAGGGGGCCTTTGCACTGCGATATGACTGTGGTGGCATCCAGGCAGGAGTGACCTCCCCACCTGTGGGAGAGCTTTTCCCTCAGCCCTCACCCTCCTGCCTGTGGACTCAGGTGCCCCCATGTCCAGTCCCGTGGGTGGCTCTGGCTTTGCTGTGAGGAGGGAGAGATGGTTTGCTAGAGGCTGCGGACTCCACTCAGCACAGCCACACCTCACTCTGCTGTTTTCCCTGAAATGCAGGGGTGGACCAAGCTTTGCCGCAAGAACGCCGGCCTCCCGTCACTCCTTCCTCTGCCTCCCGCTACCACCGCCGACGGTCTTCAGGGTCACGAGATGAGCGCTATCGGTCAGGTAAGCACGGGGCAGGGCATGATAGTAATTCGTCTGTCTGCCACTTTTGCCAAGAAGGTACCTGTGCCCAGCCACTGGGAGAGGCAGAAGCATAGTGGGTGTGGGTCTCCGGCAGGCAACGAACCTCCAGCTTTCTGCGCAGGCACACCCTCTTGGGAGACTCCAGTGTCCGGTAAATGGTAGCTCTTCGCATGCTTTACAACTCTATGTTGTTTATTTAGAACTTCATACTAATTAAAAAGATAATCTTGTGCCAAATCTTTCTCATTTTTAGGTGTCTCTATTAAATAATTTTGTAATCGTGGTTGCTAGGAGAGATTTTCTCTTTTTGCCCTCAGTGATTTGTCTTCCAGGTGTACTTTTCTAAATGGCAACGAAAACCATACACTATCACACGTTTCCTGTTTGGTTTTCCTCTGTGTTTTATGATGCCATCTGCATGGGTTGTTTGGACACTGAATTGCCACTGTCACCGGGGCTTGGCCAGCTGAAATTTTATTGATTTAGCAACAGAAAACTTAGGCTGTCGGGCATGATGGGGCATGCCTGTAATCCCAGCTACTCGGGAGGCTGAGGCAGGAGAAGCACTTGAACCTGGGAGGCAGAGGTTGCAGTGAGCTGAGATCGCACCATTGCAATCCAGCCTGGGCAACAGAGCAAGACTCCATCTCAAAAAAAAAAAGGCTGGGTTTGGTGGCTCATGCCTGTAATCCCAGCACTTTCAGAGGCCAAGGTGGGTGGATCATTAAGGTCAGGACTTAGAGACCAGCCTGGCCAATATGTTGAAACCCCGTCTCTGCCAAAAATACAAAAATTAGCCAGGCGTGGTGGCATGCATCTGTAGTCCCAGCTACTCAGGAGGCTGAGGCTGAAGAATCGCTTGAACCCAGGAGGTGGAGGTTGCAGTGAGCCAAGGTCATGCCACGGCACTCTAGCATGAGTAACAGAGTAAGACTCCGTCTCAAAATGAAACAAAACAAACAAAAAACTTAGGCTGTGATTCATGTTTGAATTACTCAGAGAGTTTTTCCAACATGTAGGTTCAAGTTGCTTCTTTAAAAGAAAATTACTTGTGAATTCTTTGTAGTTCCTGGGGCACTGGTTAGGTCAGGGGTGATCCCTGCTGATGGACCTGATTCGTGAATCACTTTGTTTTCACATGCGCATCACCAGCATTCTCACATTGAGCTTTATGATAAGCAGGTGAAGTGTGACTGTTGTCTAGTGTGTCAGAAGAAGAGACTGAGGCTAAGTGATTATGACACTCACCCAGTGGTCGAGGAAATCCTGTGAGTCTCAGCTGGGTTGTAATGAATCTCTCTGTCTGCACAGGCTCATGTGATTAGCTGCTTTTGCTGTGCCCTCAGTTGCTGTCTGCCTGGCGTCTTGGCTCTACTGTCCTTTCTATAGGGGACGTTTTATGGCCACAGGAAGTGTCACCCATGCAAACGAGAAGGATGCACCTGAGAGCCTGAATGAAAAGCCGGTGCACCTCCTCAGCATCCCTCCTGCATTCTCCGAGGAGGCTTTGACCCCAGGAAAACGTGTGGGGATGGGATGGAGGAGGATTTGTTCCCAAATCCAACCTCCATTCTTTCAGAACTGTCTTAAACCCTGATGCATACCAAGAGCTTCTCTTACTCATGTGGGTGTCTTGGATGCCCCCGTCACATTCAGGAAAGTGGAGGCGCCTGTGTGCTGTCAGCCTGCGATGAACGCTTCTCTCACCCTGTCAGTGTTACTGTGTCGGTGCCCTGTCTGTGAACACACAGCACACCGAGAAGTGAGTTCACATAGCTTCAATTCTCACAGAAGCCAGTGGTGGTTGGTCTTCCATTTTGTAGATTAGGAAACAAGTTCAGGGAGGCCGCATGATGGCTGAGGATCACACGGGCCACTCATCACGGTGGGATGAAAGCCTGATGCCTTACCACACAGGAGAGGAGGTCAGCGTCAGTCGCCATTGCGTCTTCTTTCCTATGTTCTGTCTCTCTCCACGACACTGCAGGGGGTTGATCAACCGTGTGTTGACCTGGCCTTTGAATCGTGTCATCTTCATAGTCCCAGCTACTTCGTGAGATAAGTGTGGCAGGTTGTGGTCGACTCACGTGCTTCTCTCTAGATAGAAGCCTGAGAGGTGAGAGTAGTAGGAGACAGTGATCTCTTGACCTCAGGTGCGTTTTCTGTTCACCTGTGCACCTTATGTCAGCTCTTCAAAGGCAAGAAGGTGTGGGAGAGGCACACAGCGAAGCGGGTGGCTAAGAGTGGGAGGGTGACTGGAGGAGACCAACACTTCAGCTCACAGACTGCAGGCCCTGCTCCGCAGGGGAAGTGAGGCTCAACATGAGAAGCAGGGTTCCTTTCTCCTGTTTTTGTAGAATTGTGAAATATAGCACCTCTTCATACACAGTCCCTCCCCTTCCCCATCCTGATTCATGTCTCTGTTGCCATTGTCACCACATGACATTCTGTCGCTCCATCTGCATATCTGTATTATTTACCTACCTGTCAATCATTCCTCCATTTATTGACCTCTCATGCACCTGTCTGCCCTTTCATCAATCATCCACTTATCTGTCAATCGTCCACTTACATACACCATCCATCCATTTTCCATCTATCATCCATCCGTCTTCCATCTGCCTCCGTCTCTCACCTTCTCCCATAGAATACGAGGCCCACACAGGCAGGAACTCTGCTTGGTTCATTCATGTTGGCCAAGCACCAATATTGCCTGGCTTCTATATTTTGAAGGAAGGAAGATGGGGGAGCATAACACATTTGGGGAAGGGCAAGAAGTTAGGTAGGAGGGGCCAGGTTATAGCATCTTGTGTGTCATGCTTGGAAATTTGGACTTCATCCTGAAGACGATGAGAACCACTTGAAGATTTTAGGCAAAGGCACTGTGGGAGCCAGTTCAGGGTTTGAAGATCACTTTAGCAGCATCATGGAACGTGGACTAAAAGTGGGGGAGTCCAAAAGACCCTGATATCTCTTAAGTACTGAGGTGTAGTTAAGAGATATTGGTCAGGGCTGGGCATGGTGGCTCATGCCTGTAATCCCAGCACTTTGGGAGGCCGAGGCTGGAAGATCACCTGAGTTCAGGAGTTTGAGACCAGTCAGGCCAACATGGCGAAACCCCATCTCTAATAAAAATACAAAAGTTAGCTGGGTGTGGTGGCGCATTCCCGTTATCCCAGCTACTCCAGAGGCTGATGCAGGAGAATCTCTTGAACCAGGGAGGTGGAGGTTGCAGTGACCTGAGGTCACACCACTGCACTCCAGCCTGGGTGACACAGCATCAAAAAAAAAAAAAAATTGTATCAGTTAGATTTGAAAAATGCTCCAAAGAGAATAGCAATAGGTCCTGAAGATTGGGTCAACATGGAGGAACATGAGAGGAAATCAAGGTGACCTTGATGTCTTAGTTATGCACCTGCACAGATGATGCTCCCCAATTCTGTACCCAGGGTGACTCTGAGATGTCCAGCTTATGCACCTGCATAGATGATGGCCTCCAATTCTGTACCCAGGGTGACTCGGAGATGTCCAACTTATGCACCTACACAGATGATGGTCTCCAATTCTGTACCCAGGGTGATTCTGAGATGTCCAGCGTATGCACCTGCACAGATGATGCTCCCCAATTCTGTACCCAGGGTGACTCTGAGAGGTCCAGCTTATGTACGTGCACAGATGATGGTCTCCAATTTTGTACCCAGGGTGACTCTGAGATGTCCAGCTTATGCACCTGCACAGATGCTGGTCTCTGATTCTGTACTCAGGATAACTTGGAGATGTCCAGCTTATGCACCTGCACAGATGATGCTCCCCAATTCTGTACCCAGGGTGACTCGGAGATGTCCAGCTTATGCACCTGCACAGATGCTGGTCTCCAATTCTGTACCCAGAGTGACTCAGAGATGTCCAGCTTATGCATCTGCACAGATGATGCTCCCCAATTCTGTACCCAGGGTGACTCGGAGATGTCCAGCTTATGCACCTGCACAGATGCTGGTCTCTGATTCTGTACTCAGGATAACTCGGAGATGTCCAGCTTATGCACCTGCACAGATGATGCTCCCCAGTTCTGCAGCTGCTTCTCTTTAGGGAATCAAGCTTACTGTGTGTAGGTTATAGGTGGCAGAATTTACCTTAGCTATTCACTTACTACGTAGAAGATACTATGAACAATTTTGTAGACATTCCTTGAAGTGTCATTTATGTGAGATATAATGGAAAACACCACGATTCCATGCATGCTGTTGTAGTTTTTAAAATTTGGGTACTCATCATTGTTTTTAATCAGCAGTGACTGATAGGGGTATGAGTGTACCCTATGGCCTCCGCATTGCCTGTGAATGCTCAGGTGCGGCTCTACTTTCTGTAGCCAACACAGAACACTCCCCTTTATATATCATGGCAGCTACTCTTCAGAAAAGCAGGAGGGGCATAGGGGTCATTATTGGGGTTCCTTATTCTCTGCTGTTTACTGTTGTTACAGGGATCTAGTTGTGACTTCTTTAAATTTAGATATGCTATAATTTACTTTCTCATGTGAGTACATGCTCACATGGTTTTAACAATGAGGTGTGAGGTAAGAGGAGCTTATATTAGTCTATGACCAGTAGACACATTTCAGAGTTTTCTGTCTGCTTTTTCCTTTCTCCTGAGCCGACCAGGAACACTGGAGTCATTCACGAGGAAAGGGCTGTGGCTCCTTGGGAGACTCGGCAGCTCAAGCTCTGTGACCACTCATCTTGCAGTAAAGCTACTGTGGTTGCTTCAGTGACCGAATTTCATCAGCCAAGAAGTTATTCTGTTATCTCTTAGATAATTGACCTACTTAACAATTAATCTAGTCAGCCATTTAATCTTCCTGGCTGTATTTTCTCATTTCATTTCTAAACCCATGACCTTACCTTGTAATGAATTTTTACGAAAATTCTTTATAGTAGTATATATCTCTTCTTTTTAAATCACTTTCTTTTGGAACTTGA